GGGGTGCTGGGGCAGCTGTGTGGCTGCTCCGTGCGTGCCCTGCACTGGCTGTGGCTGCAGCTGCCGGGCTGTGGGGCACCGATGTGCTTGTGCAGGGGTGGCTGTGCCTGAGGACAGTCCCATGCAGGGGGGTATGGGGGGCACTTTCTGACAGAGACCCCACAGCACTCATGCTGTGTGTTGCTGGTGGGCGAGATGTTCTGGCACCAGAAGCGGATGCGAGAGGGTCCTTGGGCACCCTGTCCTCTACCCCATCTGCCCTCCCTGGGAGCGTCTGCCCCTGCTGCTCCAGCTCCTGTTGCCCATCTGCTCCTGTCCCTGCTGGGTTCCTCATGGTCTGGTGCAGTCCCCGTGTGTGCCGCCAACTCCCCTCAAGTTTGGTGAAGGCATCTTCCATCCAAGCAGTTGTGGTGGGGCGAAGGTGGCTGGGGAGGGGAGTTGGCCCTGCCCCATCTCTGCCTGCAGTGCCTTTCGGGGTGCTGCGTCCTCTGGTGCTGGCAGGTTTGCCTCCTGGAGGTGCTCCCAGCCCTGCTGCTCCCTGTGCTGTTTCTGCTGAGCTGCAGTGGGGATGGCAGGACTTGAACAGGGAACCCTGGCCAGGGCCACTGGGAGGACTGAGCCAAACTGTGGGCCACTGAGCAGTGGGTGTCTGTCCTGACCCTCCTCTGCTCTCTCCTAGATGAGTCCTTCCACAAGCACCTTATCTGCAAGGTCAGTGTCCCCATCTCCCGTTGCTGGCATCCCGCAACCCTCAGGGCTGGCGTGGGTGGGGAGCTGGGGGGGAAGGACACCTGCAGAGCTCGTTGGTCCCCAGCGGGTTGTGATGGCAGAGTGAGCCCTGCCCTCAAACCCAGCTGTCCCCAGCTCTTGGGACGCAGGTGACACCAGTACAGAACTGTGATGGATGCCTGTCCCTTTGTCCCCAGGTACAGTGTGTTGCCATGCTCCAGGTGGGCTCTGTCCAGGCAGGGAATTCATCTGAGTGCGGCCAGTGCTTCAGCCTCTCCTGGATGCCCTCCAAGCCCCATCATCACCTGGCAGCTGGTTTTTATGACGGTGGGTCATGATGGCACTGCACCCCATAGCAGGGACAGGCACACATGGAGCTCCGTGCTCCTTCAGCCTCAGCCAGGGTAGGGAATGGAGGATCCTGACCATACAGGACAGGGGGAGCAGCAGCAATTGGCAGGCACTGTTCAGGAGCCTCTACCCATCTCTGGGACAGGGGAAAGGCAGAGGAAGAGAAGGCTTCAGGGAGACCTTAGAGTGTCTTTCAAGTCCTGAAGGGGCTACAGGAAAGCTGGGGAGGGACTTTTGTCAAGGGCATGGAGTGATGGAATGAGGGGGAATGGCTTCAAACTGGAAGATGGGAGATTTCAGTTAGACATTAGGAAGAAATTCTTTGCTGTGAGGGTGGTGAGACACTGGGCCAGGTTGTGCAGAGCAGCTATGGCTGCCCCATCACTGGAAGTGTTGAAGGGCAGGTTGGATGGGGCTTGGAGCAACTTGGTTTAGTTGGAAGTGTCCCTGCCCATGGCAGGGCCATCCAGTTTGGGACTGGATGATCTTTAAGGTCCTTTCCCACCTAAACCAGTCTGGGATTCTATGGTCATGGGCTGGCCACAGGCAACCTCACATACCTGTTGGCTCCAGGGCCTGGCTCTGGCTTAAGCTGCCTGACTTCCCTGGATGCAAGCTTGGCTTCAGGCAACCTGCAGCTCTGTGCTGCACTGGCAGGACCTGCTGTCCCTGAGCCCTCCTGTCCCACTCCAAGCCCTGGTCCCCAGCTCCAGCCCTGCCTCAGCCATGGTGTGGCCACCATGGCAGCTCCTCACAGGTGCAGGTCTCATCCCACAGGTACCGTAGCCATTTGGGACCTGCTCACCAAGTCCCTGCTGCAGTGTGTGCACCAGCCTGATGGCTCCCTCAAGCTCTACCCATTCCAATGCTTCATGGCCCACGACCAAGCAGTGCGGAGCATCGAGTGGTGCAAGGCCGACAGGTGAGAGCTGGTACCACTGGCACAGCTCCTTTGCTGGGGTGGGCTTCAGGGGACCTGGTGTTGATGACACTGGACCTTCTGAGGCTGAAGTGGGTTTTCCAGGGTGTGGGATATAGAGCCATGTGATGGGAGCACCCCTGTGCTGTGGGACCAGGGCAGCCTTGTCTCTGCACAGCAACAGGGCACGGCTCTGCGCTGGGCTCTCAGTGCTGCCTTTCTCCTGGTTCTCAGCAACTTCCTGGTCACGGCAGGGAGCGACCGTAAGATCAAGTTCTGGGACCTGCGGCGGCTCTACGAGCCCATCAACAGCATCAAGCGGTTCCTCAGCACCGAGGTGGCCTGGCTGCTCCCCTACAACGGTGTCACAGTGGCCCAGGACAACTGCTATGCCTCGTGAGTGCCGGGGCCATCACCATGCCTGTTCCAAGCCTGGGGGCCAGGCTGCTGCAGGGGTCTGGTCCTGCCTCCCCTCTGCTGTTCTCTGAGTCCTGGGTGTCCCTTGAGTCTCTCCCTCCCTGGTAGCACTGGCTCTGCTGACATTGGGTCCCACGGCAACTGCACAGCCTTGGTGTGGCTAAGGGGCTGTGTTATGGTGCCAATTTGGGTCATGGGCAAGGTGGGCATGGAGAGGGACAGGGCCCCCGGGCTGGACTGGACAGCAGGGCCCTGCATGGACCCAGGCTGACACAAGTTGGCAAAAGGGTTCTGGGGTCTTGGTGTGTTCTCAGCCTCTGGGAGCTGCCCTGAGCCACCTTGTGACGCTGTGATATGCTGCTAGAGTGAGGACAGGCCCCCTCCAGCCTCCCTACATCCTGCTGGGGGTTCAGGGGAGGTGGGCTGCTGCCTGGCTCTCGCAGTCTGGTGGCAGTGCTGCACTCCATCCCCATCCCTTCCCTTTCTGTCACAGTTACGGGCTCTGCGGGATCCACTACATCGACGCCGGGTACTTGGGCTTCAAGGCTTATTTTGTGGCCCCCCGCAAGGGAACTGTGTGGGTAAGAGGCCAGTTCAGGGCCGTGCTATCCTGGGAAGCCATGGCAGGGGGGTGGGCACCTGCCCCAAACCCAGGGTCCGTGGCAACTAGGTGAGGGGGTGTCCCTGCCTGTCTGTCCCTCCCCAAGGGTGCCTAGGGTTTGGGGCTGGTGCTGCTGCTGGGCTGGGGGTGGCATGGACCCCCTGGGGACCCTGTGCCCCAGAGCCCTCTGTCCCTGCAGAGCATATCAGGCTCAGACTGGCTGAACACGGTGGCTGCAGGAGATATCACCGGTGAGCTGGTGGCTGCGGTGCTGCCTGACCTGGCTGTCAACCCCCTCAACGTCAACGCTCCTCGGGACCGCAGATTTGTAAGAGGCTGGGTTGAGGCATGGGGGGGGTTGTGTGTGTGCCCCCAGCCCTGTTCCTGGTGATCCCTGTTCCCCCCCTGAGCCTCATCTCACCCACAGCCAGTGTACAAAGCTGATCTACTGCCCTGTAGCCCCACCGGGCCTGAGGGCAGCGTGCAGGCGCTGCCCAAGACCAGGCTCTACAGCGAGATGGTGGCCAAGAGCTACATCCAGTTCCGGGACATGGACCTGGTAGGTGGGCAGGGGGTCCTGAGCCTAAGTGGGACCTGGGGGAACAGGGCCTGGAGGGTTTTGGCAGGACAAGGAGACATTGCAGCAGCCCGTTTGCCTCTGGCAGAGCCCATGCTGACTGCCCCGAGAGCAGGGGGATGGGCTCCGTCTTCTCTGGTGCAAGAGATGGGGAGCAAGTCTGGGTCAGATCTGCCAGAAAGGCCCCAGGCTGGGCTCTGCCCATTGTCTGGTTCCTGCCACCTTTCACTGTGGGTGACCCCAGGGGTGACACATCTCCTGGCTGAGCAGCATTACCCCGTGCCATGGCCCCGGTGCTGCCACTGGTGCCGCTGGGGACGCAGTGCCTCTGCCGGGGACACGCTGCCCACAGCGGTGCCCTCGCTTCGCAGCGCAGCTTCAAGAACCTGCCCAGCCGGGAGCCCGTGCGCAGGATGCACACGCAGGAGGCGAAGGCAGAGCTGATCCTGGACCGCTTGCAGCTGGAGTCCCTGCACAAGGTAAGGGGGCTGCCTGCCCCTGGGGGCTGCAGGGTCCTGGCCCCTAGGCCCTCTCTTGACCCCTTTCGCACATTCCCACAGGTCCGCTTCAGCCCCAACCTGGACTCCCTGGGCTGGCTGGTGTCTGGCGGGCAGGCAGGCATCGTGCGAGCGCACTGTCTGGCAGGACTTGCTGCCAGCACCGGCCGCCGGCTGCTCCCGGAATGCCAGGCCCGCTTCACTGCCCTCTATGGGGACAAGCCTGGCAGCCCCAGCCCCCCGCAGTGCTCCCCACTGCCGGCGGAGTAGCGCCGTGGGACCCTCATGGTGCCACCACACGCTGGGGAACTCTCGTGGTGCCATCACGTGCCGTGGGACCCTGGTGCTGCCACCACACGTGGTGGCTCTCTCGTGCTGACATCATAAGATGATGGGACCCTGGTGCTGCCAGGTGGAACCCTTCTCCTGTCAGCACACGTGCACACCCCATCAGGAGCTGGGGCTAGGGCTGGCTGTGCTGTCCGAGAAGGCCACGTGTCATTTTCGGTGCTTCTCATCCTCTGGGTCCCCACCTCCTGGGGCTGGGATGGCTGCTCCTGGCTGTCACCTGGGATGCTCAGGACACTTGTCCTTGTGCTTTGTGCCCAGAAGGGTCCTTCTGCACTGTTTGGGCTGAGCTGATGCAGGGCGGGCAGTAGGATGCTTGCTTGTCTCTGGTTTGAGCTGTGGGTTGTGGGGTTCCCCCTGTGTGGGGTTGTGCTTGCTCCTGCCCCCTGTCCCCGGCTGAACCCCCCTGTGCTGTTGCAGGCCAGGGTGGTGGGGCCAGTGGATGCCGGAGCTCTGGAGTCGCTCACATTGAGCCTGTGTTCAGCTGTGCAGTAAAACGTGGTTTGTTTTGTAGAGGCTGATGTGCTGCTGGTGCACTGCCTGTGTCCAGGGTGGCTGTGGCACTGTGGGGGAGCCCAGCCCTGGCTACACTTGGCCCCTCTCAGGGCGCTGGGGTCGTGTCCCCCTCCCCAGCCCCCTCCAGTCTACCTGTGCCACTGCTGCTGCTCACCATCACATTTATTGGTGGCCATGGGCTCTGCCATGGCTCATGGATCTCCTTGCACAGGGACATACAGATGGACACGGTGCAGTGTGACAGACATAGACTCACAGCGTGGGGTTGGGTCAGGCCAAGGTCTAGCTGGGGCTGAGCTCTGGGCTCTGGCTGCTCTGACTCCCTGTGCCTGGGAGTGCAGCAGCAGCCCTGGAACCCCCCCAGACTGGGAATTAGCGAGGTCATATTGGGGGGGCTAGGGGGACAGCATCTGGGGCCAAGGCTGGGTCTGAACTCCCCACCCCAATGAAATCCTCCTTCCTCTGGGGGATAGGGGCACTCTGTTGGGGGTGGCAGGAGCACCTCCCCCCCTTCCTCCTTTGGGGCTGGTCCCTTCCCAGCACAGCTCCCAGGGGAGCCCCTGTGCTGTGGGGACCAAGCTGCATGTCGTGCCCTGAGGCCACACAACTGTCCCCACCCTGAGCCACCCCACTGCAACCCCTGGGGCTCTGCAGCAGCAGGACCAATGCAGCACAGGGACCCCTGCTCCTGTGCTCCCACCCTGCCCCGGAGGGTGGGGGTCCAGGGGCAGACCCAGCTCTGCAGCGGGCAAGGGTCTCAGGCACAGGGGTCCTGGCAATGCCGGCAGGCTGCCATCTCCTCCCTGTCCTTCTCCAGCTGTACCGTGCAGGAGGCAAAGCTGAACTTGTTCCGCAGCCGAGTAGTGGTTTCCTGCAGCACCATCTCAGGGTCAGCGCTGGCTTCTGGGGACAGCAGGACAGCGTGGCTCAGCCCTAGCATGGGCAGCCAGTGGGATCCTCGGCCATGCCCTGGGGGCTGCCCAAGCTGGCTGGGCTGTGGCACTCACCGATGGCCACGTGCACCGACACGGCGGGGTGGCTCAGTGTCAGGGCCCAGAGGTGCAGGTCGTGGGTGCCCTTCACCCCGTGCACCCCCAGCAGCAGCTCCTTCACCGCCTCAAACTCGATGCCCTGTGGTGTCCCTGCCAGCAATGCCTGGTCACCCTGGCCCGCCAGGGTCAAGGCTTGTGGTGAGGGCTTTCCCAGGCTGTGACTGGATTGGGGACAGTGACTCCAGGGTGAGGCAACCTGTCCCCGTGGGGCCCTTTGCCTGGGATGGGGAGGTTCAGAGGGGCAAGGGAAGGGGTTGGGTTGTGTCTGAGGGAGAGCAGAGGTTGCGAAGGGCTGGGATGCCACATGGAGCAGCTCATCTGGGGGCTGCGGCGCATGTGCCCCCCTCTGCCCCCTGCCAGACCCTGTGCCATGGTCCTGCACCCTCCTCACCCACCACAAACCTTCCATGAGGACTCTGAAGACATCGCGCGCTCACCGAGGGCCACGTGCACCGACACGGCGGGGTGGCTCAGTGTCAGGGCCCAGAGGTGCAGGTCGTGGGTGCCCTTCACCCCGTGCACCCCCAGCAGCAGCTCCTTCACCGCCTCAAACTCGATGCCCTGTGGTGTCCCTGCCAGCAATGCCTGGTCACCCTGGCCCGCCAGGGTCAAGGCTTGTGGTGAGGGCTTTCCCAGGCTGTGACTGGATTGGGGACAGTGACTCCAGGGTGAGGCAACCTGTCCCCGTGGGGCCCTTTGCCTGGGATGGGGAGGTTCAGAGGGGCAAGGGAAGGGGTTGGGTTGTGTCTGAGGGAGAGCAGAGGTTGCGAAGGGCTGGGATGCCACATGGAGCAGCTCATCTGGGGGCTGCGGCACATGTGCCCCCCTCTGCCCCCTGCCAGACCCTGTGCCATGGTCCTGCACCCTCCTCACCCACCACAAACCTTCCATGAGGACTCTGAAGACATCCCTGAGGATGGTGAAGGTGGAGCCGAGGACAAAGATGGCAAAGAAGAGGGTGCTGATGGGGTCTGCGATCTTGCACTGGGGCTGCAGAGAGCAGGGGCTGCATGGGGCTGGGAGGAGGCACCTGGTGGAGTGCCCCACAGCAGCCTGCTTGGGGCTGAGGGAGTTGTTCTCCCAGGAATCAGAGGTGACTCCAATCTGCACACCTTGAAGTAGATGATGGTGGCAGCCACGAGGACACCAATGCTCTGCAGCAGGTCACCCACCACATGGACAAAGGCGGCTCGGACGCTGGTGCTGCCAGGCAGGGGGGCATGGCCGGGCAGGCAGCCCCCAGTGCTCTCCAGCTGCTCATAACCCCCTGTGCTGTGCCCATGGCCGGCAGGGGACTGGTGCAGGATGTATGCCATGCTGGGGGAAGCAGGACAGGCTCAGGCAGTGGTTCCCAGCTGGCCCCAGGATGGTGAGGAGGTGTGGGGCAGGGTCCTGCCAAGTGGCAGGGCTGGAGGCAGCACAAGGACAGGACAGCTGCAGAACTGCAGGGAGATGTGTGGGGCCAGGGAGGACAGGGAGCCAGGCCCAGGGCACCTGTGCTCAGGGAGCCACAGGTTGTGGGGTCAGGGGATCTATGCACAGGCTCTGGAAGCTGGGAGTGTCTGGGCAACAGGCAGAGGCAGCATTTGGTGACACAAGGCTGGTGTGCAGGGTCAGAAGGTGACCTGGGGTCCAGAGCTGGGGGTCTTACAGCACCAGGGGCACACATGGAGCAGGGAGAGGGTGCCAGGGCCAAGGCCAGGGGTGGAGGGGGGCTATGGGGCAGGAATGGAACCCTGTGTGGGACCTACATCAGGTTGATGCCGACAGCGCTGGCAGCCGTGACCAGCATGGCATGAGCCTCAATCTCATAGTCATTGGTGACAATGCGGATGGCTGCCAGGTAGACCAGGGCCCCGGTGACCAACCAGATGGAGAGGACAGAGGCCAGTGCACCCAGTGTCTCTGTGGGACAGAACCATCAGCACCCACCCCAGCCACAGGGCTCTGCCCCCTGGCTCACCCATGCCCCCTGGCTCACCTGAGCGGTGCCAGCCAAAACTCATGGTCCTGGTGGGTGGGCGGGTAGAGACCCAGAGGGAGAAGAGGCTGACGGCCATGCTGCCTACATCGGTCAGCAGATGGGCTGCATCCGTCATGATGGCCAGGCTGTGGGACAGGTACCCACCTGCAGGCACAGGGCAGCTGGCACCCCGTGCCCTGGCTGGGGCAGCCCCCTTGGCCCCTCTCCAGCCCTGTCCCACCGTTACCTATCACCTCCCC